TGTTGCGCGCGTGGGACTGGGTTGTCGGGTTTCGGGGTCATGGGTACTGTGGGGTCTTGTCCGTAGTTCAGGTAAAACGGTGACTGTTGGGTCGTGGCAGATGGCGAGTTGTTGTACGCGAACTCGATGAGTGGCAGTTGCTGTTCCCACGTGGTCGGGTCGTCGCACGTGGCTCGGATGAGCTGTTCCATGGTCTGATTTGTCCGTTCTGTTTGTCCGTCGGTTTCGGGGTGGTATGTTGAACTGAACTGTAGTCGCGTGCCGAACTGCTGCCACAGGTTTCGCCAGAAGTTGCTGGTTAATTTCGTGTCGCGGTCGCTGATAATTGATGCTGGTATCCCGTGCAGTCGAACGACGGTGGAGATGAAGAGGCGGGCTATTTCTTCGGCTGTGATTGATTTCTTGCAGGCTGCGGAGTGTGCCATTTTCGTCAGCCGATCGACGACGACCAGGATCGCGTCGTTCCCACTTGCTCCAGCCGGTAACCCCGTGACGAAGTCCATCGTCACCTGCTGCCAAGCACGCTCTGGGGGTGGTATCGGCTGGAACTGTCCTGTCGTTGTCGTGACGACTTCATGAGCTGGCAGGTGGGACACGATGCCACGTGTCGTTGCACGTCGGTCAGCATCTCGGGCCAGTAGTAATACCACTGCAGCTGCTGCCGTGTTTTCTCTACCCCGAAATGTCCTGAGGTAACCCCGTCGTGTGCCTCCTGTAGAACAGTTCCCTTAGTAAAGTGTAGCCCGGTACCCAGATGCGGTCGGTGCCGGCTTTTACGTAATACACCCCTTTTGCTGCTGCAGACTGCTGCGAGTTGCCTCCGGTAAAGAAGGGGCCTGTCTGATACCCGTGGGTAAATAGGCCTGTCAGTAGCGGGCTGGTCTGTGCGAGTAGTATGGCGTGGATCTGGGCAGTTGGGCGGGTCAGTGCGTCGGCAATGTTCGAGGCTCCCTTTTTATAGGTGACCGTGTAGTGGAAGTTTAACTCGAGGAAATCGAGCCAGCGGATCTGTCGTGGGTTGAGGTGGGGCTGTGCGCGGAGGTACTGTAGTGATCTGTGGTATGTCCGTACTGACACGTCTGCGCCGGTCAAGTAACAGCGCCAGACCTTGAATGCATGCACGATCGCGAGCATTTCGCGGTCGTGTATCGGGTAATTCTTCTCGGGTGAATGCAATTTTCGTGACTCGTATGCGATGGGCTGTAAACCGTTGCCGAAATCCTGTAGCAGTACGGCTCCAATGGCGATGTCGCTTGCGTCTGTAACTACTTCGAATGGGCGGTGTGGGTCGGCGATGCGCAGTACGGGCGGTGAACAGAGAACATTTTTCAGGGCAGAGAAGGCAGCATGCTCTTTCTCCCCCCACGTAAAAGCGACCCCCTTCTGCAGTAAATCCGTCAGCGGGGTGGTTAACCGTGCCATGTCGGGGACGAACCGACGCACATAATTAACGAACCCTAAAAAACTCTGCAGCTCTGTGATGTTCGTCGGGGGGTGCCATGCTTTTACCGTGTCCAGCTTCTTTGGGTCGATCTCAACTCCAGCCTCCGAAATAACATGCCCCAGAAATTCTAACCTATCCTGGAAGAACTCGCACTTGGAACCCTTGGTCAGTAGCATGTGCTCGTCTAAAACTTTAAACACTGCTTCCAGATCTGCTGTAGACTAGGATGTCGTCGAGGTAAACTATCACGCATTTATCTAAGAGCGGTCTAAACGCCTCGTTCATGGTCATCAGAAATGTCTCTGGTGCGTTGGTCAGCCCGAATGGCATCACGATGTACTCGAATGACCCATACCTAGTTCTAAATGCCGTTTTTACGCAGTTCAATGGTTCGACCCGAATCTGGTGGTAACCTCCGCGTAAGTCAATTTTCTAAAAGACCCGTGCTGTTCGTAGTTGATCTATCAGTTCGTCGGCTCGGGGAATGGGGTATCGCGACTTGACTGTTACCCTGTTCAGTGCTCTGTAGTCGATACACATGCGAAAACCTCCGTCTTTTTCAGTGTGAACAGTATCGGTGCGGCGAACGGTGACGAGCTCGGTCGGATGATTTTTTTCTCTAACAGGTAATCTAACTGCTTCCTCAGTTCATCGAGCTCTGGCTGTGTCAGTCGGAATTGTCGCTGTACAGCTGGCTGTGCCCCCAGTTCTAACTCTATTCGGTGGTCATGTGCCCGCTGAGGTGGCAGTCCCTCTGGTAAATCGTCCGGAAAAATCCCCGGGTACCGTTTCAACAGTTCCTGTAGTTCGGGCGATACCGCAGCCAACAGTTTCTTAAAATCGCTCGGCTGCTCTGCTTCTCCTACCAATGCTATATCCACTTCGTACACGTCAGCTCCAGCGGCGACATCCCGTTTCATCGTGATGGCGTTGACGTGGACCGTTGAAGACTCGGGCGACTGCCAGCGAGGTAGCACGACCTAGTTACCGCTGCTTCGCACAGTGCAGCTACCCGTCGTCCAGTCGATTCGCGGATTATACCGTCGCAGCCAGTCACGTCCCAGTAAAATGTCGTGCCCATCCAGTGTCGTCGCAAGCATTTCCTGTGTAAACCCAAAGTTCCCCCCGCAGCGGACTTTTACTCTTTCCACCTTCTCCCGTATGGCCAGTGGCGTGCCGTCGACTAAGCGTGCATCTATCTCCAGTAAACACCGACTAAGTGTCAGCTGCAGCTTCCGTGCGGTTGCGGTATTAACTAAGCTGTGACTTGCTCCTCCATCGATAAAAATCTTCACTGCTGCTCCCTGTATTTTCCCGTGAATCAGTACTGGGCAATCCGTCGCTGTACCCTCCTTATTCATCCGAGCCCGATCGATAGCGTGAATCGGTACTGTGACTCGGTGAGGGTCGGTGAGGTTGGGCGAGCAGGCTGTCTCGTCAGTAGTTGGCCCGTTTTCTACTGACTGCTGGCGTTTCCCTGCCTCTGAGACTCCCTTCCCTGCTCCGCTCCGCAGCGCCTCTGCTCCTCTGGGCATTCGCTCTTGCGATGGCCCGGCCTATTGCAAGCAAAGCAGCGCCCCTTAAATGGCGCAGCAGCTGCATTCGCCGTAACGGCGTGTACGGTGGCGTGCTCGGTCGGTCCCCGAGGGCGATGTCCGTAGTAGGACCCCGGTCTCGGACGGCGCAAAATGTCAATTTTCTCGGCGAGCGCGAGGATCTCGTTGAAATTCGAGAGCCCGCGTAGCATGATTTCGTACGAGATGTCCGGCTTCAGCCCTCCGACTTAACGGTCCACCCGCTCCACTTCGTGCATGTAGCCGACTTGCTCGCATAATGCGAGAAAACCGCTGGTGTAGTCTTGGACCGACCCAAGTTGTCGCCAAGTACGCAGTTTCTGACGCGCCGAAATAGAAGCCGCAATCGGCTCGAAGCGCGCTCGAAGCCCTGCGCACCACGCATCCCACGTGCTGTACTGGGCGGTTTCGCAGAACGAACTCCAGGTGACGGCTGGACCCGTGGGCTCTTCCTCTTGCGACGGAGGCTCTTAGGCGCGTGGCGACGTCACAATGACTCGCCACCAGTCCATGGCGGGGCCCCTTAGCAGCGAAACAGCGTATCGAATCTTCGCTGCGTCCGACTCGACGTAATTCGCGTCGAAGAAAACGTTCATCGTGAAGACCCACGATTGAACCGTCGGACCTCCTCGTTGGCTCGGGTCGAAGCAGGGCGGGCGCTGCGGTTTGAGCGGCATCGGCGCGACAATGTCGTTGTTGCCGATTGTTGCCGCAAATTCAACGTGACGACGGGCTTCGCGAGGCCCACTCGTGCTTGGTACAGCCCTGTTCCTCCCCATGCCAGGCATTGACTGGGCGGCGCCATCACTGGCTGCGCCTGAGCGCTGTCCCACGCTGTCGTGATGTGACGGTGTGTCGGACGAGATGACAATCGGCTCATCTGATTGCACAGGTGCATTGGCAGGTGCTTGTGATGGTGCTGGCGCATTCACCGTTGTTTGCTGGCGGAGTCACGTTCCGCCGTGAGTGTCGCGATTTCGAGCGCCGAATCTTCGAGTTGGCGCACGAGACGGTCGAGCTGCTCCTGCGTCAGTGTCGCAAGATTAATTTCGGCCATGGCGGGGGTGTCGGGCAAACTCAGCGAGAGCCTCTGTCGTGGCCGTGTGTGCTTACGAGAGAGCACTCCGAGCGGCAGTGCTTGTTCGCTGAGAGACGTCTACCCCCCCCAAAAATTGAGATAGTGGGGAAGCGAATGTGTGGGTGCGGTCCGAGAGGAGATCGTAGGCTCTGAATACCAAGTGTTACGAGTGCAATTGAGCGAGCGAGCGAGAATTGCACTATCGAAGAAAAATAATACAGTCGAGCGAAAAGCATGAGCGAAGTTATATAGCGAAGCTAGCGTGGTAACGGTAATGCGGGAAATTGGGGTGCGCTACGGGCCTAGCGCCGAGGTTGGGAATTGTCGAGGCGGAGGTCCGGAGCGCGGGTTACCAACCGAACCGTGAGGTTGGGTCGCATCGTGAACAGTGGCAGGAGTTGTGGTCGAGGCGAATGTCGCGAGCGGGTAACGTTCACGGATGGGTGCCGATGGCGGGAACGGGCATGTACGCGGTAAGCAGGGACGCGAAGTAAGGAAAAGGAATTTTCCTTACACCCTGGAACAAAGCATGAACTGGGCAATGTTCACTTCCAATGATAATAGATATAATATAGGTATTAAATCTGATAAAAAAAAATAGAGACATAATGTTGGCTAATCACCCATGGACAGGCATCATGAGGCTTCTGTACATCACCAGCCCAGCATCTCTTCCCGCTAAGGTAAAAGTAGGGGGGAAGAGTTGCAGAGGGTGAAGCTAAGAGCACTGGAGGTGGAGGAGTCTCATGATGGCTGTCCACGAGGAGGAAGCATCCTAGTACCTACTTCACAGAAGCGAATTGAAACGGTAAGAAACAGCTGCTGCTTCTGCTGCTGCTGCTGCTGATGCTGGAGCTGGTGCCGATGCAAGAGCAGAGCTACGGAGAATTCATGCTTTGGTGAATCAAAAGATTTCTCCCCAGAGGGTCGAGACGTTCTCCAGGCTCTCAAAATCGCCCAGGTCGCAGGCAGAGGGCGACATCGCAGCATGGGTCGTCAGAATGTCGCAGAAGCTGTCGCTGAAAAGCTCCTCAATGAGGGAGAGCGCGGACGGGACGTCGGAAGCAGATAATATATCGTTATCAGCCACTCCGTTAGTATTAGTGGCCATGTCCGACTGGTTTTGATAAATCTCGCAATCAGCGCTCGTTGACGTGGAAGTCTCACATTTCGGAAGACGGCAAGTCTCGTCGTGGCCGTTCGGCGTCATTTCCAACGCGAGCGGCGTGAAAGGGCATTCAGACACCACCACGTTCTGCCCGACAACCTCCAAACATGCCATGTCGCCGCGGAACGCGGACAAGTCAACGGTCGCATCGCCTTCGCCGCTGTTGGCTCGCGCAACTTTATTGAGCGCCTCGGCGATGCTCTTCGCGACGGTCACGGTACGCGGGGCCGCGTCGGGCGCGTTGAGAGTGACCGTCGAGGAATCTTCGCCGAAGATCATCCGCGCCGCCATGTCGTATACGCGCACCGCTTCCTCCGCCGTCGCGTAGGAGCCCAGCCACACGCGCGTCTTGGTGCGCGGGCAGCGGATCTCCGTCACCCACCGCCCCCACTTGCGCTGCCGCACACCCTTGAGGCGGCGGAAGAGCGCGGGGAAAGCGGCGGGGCCAGCGGCGGGGGCAGCGGCGGGCGCGGGAGACGAGGGGTGAGCAGGGGAGGTCGCGAGTGCGGATGAGTAACCCGGGGAGGAGAGCGGGGAGATCGGCGGAGAGGCGAGCGGAGAGGTTGTTTGGGGAGGCGCGGTCAGCGCGGTCAGCGCGGTCAACAGGGTCAAGGGCTGGAACTCGCCGCCGAAGGTGGAAAGGACTGAATTGGGAGTAGCGGAGGGCGAAGATGTAACGCCACTGAAACTAGTCTCGGAAATGCGAGCGCGCTTCTCTGGGCTGTTGGGAAGGAAAGGCGGTAATGTTGAGTCCATAAAGGTAGACGTCTCGCTATCGAGTTTGCGCTTCAGCGTTGTGGCGTCCGGGAAAAGAAGGGAATGAGCCCACGGAGTGACGAAGCTGGGAAAGGCGGGAAACTCCATTTTATAACGTGCTGAATCAACTAATTGCTAGGCTGTTTGCTACCGCTGTGGTTTTGCTGTGAAACGGTACGTTTGTTGAGTTCGCTGGTTGTAAGGAAGAAAGCGGGAATTGTGAGTTGGTTTTGGAAATGCTGATGGCTGGAATTGGAAATGTTCGTTGCTTTATGCTCGTGCTCGTTGGGGTTGGGGAGAGTACGCGGAAGAAGTGTCCGTCATCGCGGAAGAGGAAAGGCTCCGCGGGCGGAAGGAAGCTGGGTGGCTGTGCGTTGACGAAGTTTCGTTTTGACTGGCGAAAGTAAATTTTAGGCAGCACGAAGCGTGGCGAAGGCATACGAAGCCAGTCGAATGCGAGACGACGGAGGCAAGGGGAGGTGGCGGAAGTGAAAGCGGAGGTTCGAATGGGGAAGGAGGACAGGGGAAGAATGAACAAGGGACGCACAAATTCAAATGCGGCTCGTTATTCTGAATGCACGCCTCGGGTGTGAACTGCGCGCTCCGCGGGTTGATCCCAACTTTTGTTGGGAACGCTGGAGGCCAAAAAAAAAAGGTTTTGTCGTTACACTAAAAATCAGAACCTTCACCGACCCGCCCTTTCGTAAAAAATCCACCCTAATGAGTCACCTTCCCCTTGATCGTGACTGGTATGGTATGTGCTAGTGTGCCTCAAATATCACAATTGGTTCAGAAATGCTATTCACTAAAGAAATCTCTACAATAGTGGAAGCTCACATCCCATTTTCAAACAGCAACCCCCCTCATGCAGTCTGATCTCATGTTGGTTCAATAGAGGCAATCAAGCCTACGGCAGTTTGAACGTATACATGAACAATTTCGAATGCAAGAGATTTGCATACTTTCTTGTTGAGATTGCATAATGTTAATAAATATTCATACCCACAATAGCTGGCTAGTGTTTCCATGGCAGTAAACATAAATTCTTCCTGGCCTTCCTAAACTGCATTTCGAATTGCAAGCAAAAGGTGCTCACAGGAAACTACAGCAAGTGGACCAGTGCAATGGCAGAACATTTTTTTATTAACAAAAAGGAGAATACACACACGGATATACCTAACAATCACCCATGGACAGGCATCATGAGGCTCCTGTACGCCTCCAACACAGCTTCCCTTTCCCGATAATGAAAAAATTAGGGAAGAGAGCTGTCGAAGGGAGAGCTAAGAGCACTGGAGGAGACTCATGATGGCTGTCCACGAGGAGCAAGCGACACACTAATGGGTAAACACAGGTGCGGCTGTTCCCAGTAAAGCTGGGAGCTCGAGAAGTGCTGCTCCCGGGGCTAGAGATGGCGTTGGTGCTGCCAGAAAGACTGCTCTGCCAAGGCCACTCAGAACATTTCTTCCCAGAGGCTGGAGACGTTCTCCAGGCTCTCAAAATCGCCCAGGTCGCAGACCGAGGGCGACATCGTTGAAGGGGTCGCCAGGATGTCGCAGAAGCTGTTGTCAAAGAGCTCGTCAATAAGGGATAGCGGGGATGGGACATTAAGAGCAGATGGTTTTTCGTTAGCAGCCACTCCCTTAGTAGTAACCGCGCCCGACTGCTCCTGACGAATCTCGGAATTAGCAGCGTTGGTTGACGCGGCAGATTGACATTTCGTTAGACGGCAAGTCTGGTCTTGAACGTTCGGTGTGACTGTGAGCGCGAGCGGCGTGAAAGGGCATTCAGACACCACCACGTTCTGCCCGACAACCTCCAAACACGCCATGTCGCCGCGAAACGCGGACAGGTCAACGGGAGTCGCGTCGCCGTCGCCGCTGCTGGCTCGCGCAACTTTAATGAGCGCCTCGGCGATGCTCTTCGCAACGGTCACGGGTCGCGGGTTGGCGTCGGGCGTGTTAAGAGTGACCTTCGAAGTAACTTCGCCGAAGATAATCCGCGCCGCCATGTCGTACACGCGCGCGGCTTCCTCCGCGGTCGAGTAAGATCCCAGCCACACGCGCGTCTTGGTGCGCGGGCAGCGGATCTCCGTCACCCACCGCCCCCACTTGCGCTGCCGCACGCCCTTAAGGCGTCGGGGGAGCGCGAGGGGGACCGCGGCAGGGGAAGCGGGGGTCGCGGGGGATGCGCGGGGAGAGAAGGAAGAGGTGAGGGCAGATGTGGCTGTCCCGGAGGAGAGTGGGAATATCGGCGGAGAGGTGAAGGGAGAGCTTGTTGGGGAAGACGGGGTCAGCGGGGGCAAGGCTTGAAACTCCCCGTCGAAGGCGGAAAATACTGAGCTGGGAGTGGCGGAGGGCGAATACTGCGAAGAATTAGCACCACAAATGCTAGTCTCGGGAATGCGAAGACGCTTCTCTGGGCTGGCGACGAAAGGTGGTAACGTGGAGTAGAGAATGGTGGACGTTTCGCTATCCGCTTTGCGCTTTAGTGTTGTAGCGCCCGGGAAGAGAAGGGAGTGAGCCCACGGAGTGACGAAGCTGGGATAGGCGGGGAACTCCATATGCTAACGTACTAAGCCAAACTAATCGCAGTTGTTGAGCAGTAGTCTCTAAGAATCCTAGAGTAATCGCTGCTGCAGAGAGTTTTGCTTCGAATTAGGCTATCGCAAGTAGTAAATAAAGCAAGGATTGCAAATTGGATTGGTTTTGGAAAAGCTGATGGCTCAAATGGAGAATGCTCGCCACTATATATGTGCTCGTTGGGTCGTTGGGGGGGAAGGCACGCGCAGCGAGTGACTGTCAATGCGGAAGGGGCAGGGCTCTGTGGGGGGAAGGCTGGGCGTGGGTGCGCGTATGCGAAGATGCAGTGATTGGCGAAATCGAGTGCGAGGTGAGGCGAGGCATGGCGAGGATAAACGATTCCAGGCGAGACGGTGGAGGCGATGGCGGTGGGGGGAAGGTTCGAATATGGAAGGAGGGCAGCGGAGGGTGAAAAGGGATGTTACCCGTTTCGGCGCGGCTCGACATGAAATGCGCGGCTTGGTTTGTGAAATGCGCGCTCCGCGGATAATTTTCAGAGCGGAAAAAACTTGTTTTTGTCGTCTGGCGAGAAATCCAACGATTGGCCACACATTCTGGCGGTAACTAGAAGTTTCGTGCATTTTCGAACTTCCGTTTTCCGGGGGCCTCTGTTTACTGCACCTCGATAACGATCTGTATGTGGTGTGAGAGTGAACTTCACTATGCGACATATCCCTCATTCTTTGAAAGATTTATCTAAATGACAAAAGCATTTTTGTGTCAACATTTTCGGATTATGATGTCAATACGCAGAAACAGAGTCAACCAATCAAAGGCTTGACGTTTGAGTTTGTGCCAGGGTAGAAGACCGTGCGGATTGCATCGTTGATAACACGGACCATGATAAGTTGCAGTTCCGAGGCCTTCTGCTTGAGCAAGCGGGGTGGTATGACGACGGAGCAACACCGATACCGTATATGTTTGTAAAAACGTTTTTCCAGCATGTGCCACATGAATGTAATATATTACGGCAGAAACCACATGCTTGGAATGAGCGAAGCATCATTGCAGCAAAACTCACTGTAGCAGGTTGGCTTACCCCTTGCGGTGGGTCGGCAAGAATTGGCGGTACTTGCCCAGGCTGTGTGTAATCTCTCTTGTCAAATCGCCACACTACCTTGTCAGCTTCATCCTAAGGAAGAAGGGGAAAGGGGGATGGCGGAAGGGCGAAAGGGGAAGGGGGAAGGGGGGAGGGGGAAGGGGAAAGGGGGAAGGGGGAAGGGGAAAGGGAGAAGGGAGAGGGTAGAAAGAGAAGGTGGTATTGAGGGATCAATGGTGGTTACCCAGGGGAGAATGCTGAGAATATCTTCTGTTGTCAAACCACCAGCCTACCCCTTCACCTTTGTCCCTGGTGGATCAGAGCGAAGGAAAAAAGGAAGGGAGAGCGAGACAGAGGGAGAACGAGGAGCAGAAAGCAAGCCAGCAAATGATTGAACTAGCCTAGTCGCACTTGTTACCCTCAGTCTGGATCCGAAGGACACTTGTTACCCTTTTATGTGGCACTCGATGGTTAGTTGTCACACTCTACTCGGCATTGGGTTGAACTTGTCGGGCCACGTGTTTAGACTTGACGAATATATAAAAACGGCTCAGTGATATATAAAAGAAAACGGCTCAATGATATTTAAGGCGACATTAAAAAGCGAATTGCACTGTACCTTGAACTCGTAGCCCCACGTGTAATGAATGATGGCCGCATCACCCAATACAGAGTCGGCTGGAGGCTGCAGGGGAGGGTGGTCAGGGCAAGGAAGGGCCGGAATAAAGAAACGGAGGGGATTATGGGGCCGCAGGGGTGAGAAGACAGAAGGGACAGTAATGTGTCTTCCTTGTGTCATGTGTACTGCATGTGTGATGTGTCTTCCATGTGTCATGTGTACTACATGTGTGATGAATAATGGCTGCATTAACCACATGATGGCATGTGGCATCAGGGACAGGTCGACAGGCATGTTGCCACGCGTTACAGCGCCATCATGCCATGCCATGCCGTGCCATGCCATGCCATGCCATGCCATGCCATGCCATGCCATGCCATGCCATGCCATGCCATGCCATGCCATGCCATCCACATCCCACCACATTCACCATCCCACCTGCACCATGATGGTGTGTGTGGCACCAGTGGCAGGTTGATGGGCATGTTGCCATGCCATGCCATGCCATGCCATGCCACCAGATCCCACCACCACATCCCAACAACCCACATGCACCATGAGAGCACATCCCACCCACCTGCACCACATCCCACCCACCTGCACCACTTCCCACCCACCTGCACCATGATGGCATGTGGCACGAGAGGCAGGTCGATGGGCATGTTGCCGAGCGCAGCAGCGATGGAAAAAGCATACATCTCCCGCACCCACCTGTGGTGGTGGGAGGTTGGGGTGGAGGGTTGTGAGAGGGGAAGACAGGAAGGAAGGGAGTCGTGCAAAGGGGAGTGGAGGGCATGTTGCCAAGAGCAGCGGCAATGGAAAAGGCATACACCTTCCGCCCCCACCTGTTGTGGTGGGGGATCGGGACGAGAGGAGGAGGGGTATAGCAGGGAAACGTGTGAGAAGGGAAGACAGGAAGGAAGGGAGACGTGCATGGGGCATGGGAGAGAGGAAAGCATGTTGCTGAGCACTGCAGCAATGGAGAAAGCATACATCGCTCCATCACATTCATCCCTCCCTCCCCTTCCCCACCCCTCCCCACCCCTCCCCTCCCATTCCCTTCCCTCATCTCCTCATCTCTAAGTCCACCCACCCACACGAAGTGCCACCCACCCACCCACCTACCCATGCACCCACCCACCCACCCATGCACCCACCCACCAACCCATGCACCCGCCCACCCGCCGACCCACTCACCCACCCACCCACCTACCCATGCACCCACCCACCCTCCCATGCACCCACCCACCAACCCATGCACCCGCCCACCCGCCGACCCACTCACCCACCCACCCACCTACCCATGCACCCACCCGCCCACCCACCCATCCAGCCAGCCAGCCAGCCAGCCAGCCAGCCAGCCAGCCAGCCAGCCAGCCAGCCAGCCAGCCAGCCAGCCAGCCAGCCAGCCAGCCAGCCAGCCAGCCATCCAGCCAGCCATCCAGCCAGCCAGCCAGCCAGCCCACTCACCCCAGGTCCTTCTTTGCCTCCTCGTCCTTTTCAAACCGGGCTGTGATGTCAACCCATATGGGTACCACACGGCTGGTGCGTAGGGGAATGGGGGGATAGGGGGTGATGCAATGAGATGAGAGAGGCGAAGGGAAGAGGGGAAACGAAGAGGGCAAGTGAGAGAGGGGAAGAGAAGAGGGGAAGCGCAGACGAAAAGCGAGTTTGAGAGAGGGGAAGCGAGAAGGGACAAATGGGAGACTTTAAGTGAGAGGGGAAGTGAGAGGGAAAATGGGAGTGGAGAAGTGAGAGAGGAGAAGAGGGAAAGAGAGAGGAGGCGAGAACACTGAGAAAGGGGACTTGAGAAAGGAATATAGAGAGAGGGGAGGTGAGAGTGGGAGAGAGGTACTGACGCAAGTGCAGCAGTGGGAGCGAGAACTGGTGCATTGCCTGTCTGAGGAATGTCCTTTAGGTCTCCGGGATAGTAGCTGCAGAGACAGGGCGTGGGGGGAGGATGGGAGGATGGGATGGGAGGGCGGTAGAAGAGTGGGAGGTCAGGGAGCAGTGGGAGCAGTGGGAGTAGTGGGAGCAGTGGGAGCGAGAACTGGTGTGTTGCCTATCTGAGGAATGCCCTTTAGGTCTCCGGGGTAGTAGCTGCAGGCACGGGGGTGTGAGGACAGGGGGGGATTGAGGAGGAAAGAAGGGGCGGGCGGAGAAAAGGGAGGGGGGATTTCGAGGCAGAACCGGTGCATTGCCCGTCTGGGGAATGTCCTTGAGGTCTCCGGGATAGTAGCTGCATGGAGGGGGTGTGGATGGACGGGAGGGAGTAGGAAGCATGGGGAGCAGGAAGCAGTTGGAGCGAAAACTGGTGCATTGCTTGTCTGGAGAATGTCCTTTAGGTCTCTGGGATAGTAGCTGCATGGAGGGGGTGTGGATGGACGGGAGGGAGTAGGAAGCATGGGGAGCAGGAAGCAGTTGGAGCGAGAACTGGTGCATTGCTTGTCTGGGGAATGTCCTTTAGGTCTCCGGGATAGTAGCTGCAAGGAGGGGGGAGGGGAAGAGAGGAGGGCAGGGAAAGTAGTGGGAGCGAGAAGAGAACCTGTGCATTGCCTGTCTGGGGATTGTCCTTTAGGTCTCCGGGATAGTAGCTGGAAGGGGAAGGGAGGGAAGGAGGAGCAGGTGGAGAGGAGAAGGGGAGTTTCGAGGCAGAACTGGTGCATTGCTTGTCTGGGGAATGACCTTTAGGTGCAGGATAGTAGCTGCAGAGAAGAAGGGCGAGGGGGAGGGGGGGAGGAGCAGGAAGAAAGGGGCAGGTGGAGAGAAGAGAAGGGGACTTTCGAGGATGGTAGTTGCAAGGGGGAGGGCGGGATTTGAGATAGAGATTGTGACCGGGTGAGGGGTGGTGGGGGTGGTCAAATCAGAGCAGAGCAGAGCACCGCATTGGACCGCACAACAGAGCAGAGCAGAGCTTACCAAATCATGATGCGGGTGGATGGATGGGTTGGTGGGGATGATGTCAAGCAGAGAACAGCACAGAAGAGCACAGTACCGCATTGCACCCCACAGCACAGCAGAGCAGAGCGTACCGAATCATGATGTGGTGGATGGAGGGGTAGGTGGGGATGATGTCAAGCAAGCAGAGCACACCACAGCACCACACAGCAGAGCATTGCACCGCACAGCACACATACCGAATCATGATGTGGTGGATGGAGGGGTAGGTGGGGATGATGTAGCCAAACGGAAAGCCCACAGCGCGTCCCATTGGAGGGATGGCGACCGGCCTGAGTGAGTGGGACACATGCGGAATGAAAGCAGAACAGAGTGATGACGGCTCAAAATGTGTACTTTAAGTCGGTTCAAAGTACGAATGCAGCCAAACGAAAAGCCCACAGCGCAGCCCATTGGCGACTGGCCTGGCAGGGAAGAGAGGGAGGAGAAGGAGGGGAGGAATGAGAAGAAGGAGAGGGGTAGGTGGGGATGATGTAGCCAAACGGAAAGCCCACAGCACGTCCCACTGGAGGGATGGCGACTGGTCTGGCAGGGATGAGAGGGAGGAGAGGGACGAGGATGGGTAGAAGGAGAGAAAGAAGTGAGGGGGGTGTGACAGGCTGGAAGAGGCGAAATGAGAGGGACTAGAGGGACGAGTAGGAGGGGGGGAAGACCAGAGAGATTGATAAAGGGTGTGGCTCGTTTACTTACACTACCGATGACAGGAGGAGAGGGGACTGTGTGTAGGGGTTGGGTTGTGGGGGGCAAAGAGTCATCCCCGTTATGAGCTCACTTGACAAAGAGGTAGTCGGTCTCGATCATGAAGATCCAGTCGCCCTTCACATCACCCGATTCCAGCCACTGCTGGATGGCAAAGGGGCGATCAGCCACTGGGTACTCACACCTGCAGAGAGGAAGACGGGAAAAGAAAGACAGGACAGGGGTAAGAATGGTGGCTAGACTGCCTTTCATGGTTGGTTGGTCCTTCACATCCCCGGACTCCACCCACTGCTGGATGGCAAAGGGGCGATCAGCCACCGGGTACTCGCACCTACAGAGAGGGGGAAGGGAGAAGGAAGGAGAGGGAAGGAGAGGGGTAATGGTAGTGGTTAGGCTACATACATGCATGCATACTTGACGGGCCCTTCACATCCCCTGACTCCAGCCACTGCTGGACCACGAAGGGGCGATCAGCCACTGGGTACTCACACCTGGTGAGGTGAGGGGAGGGAGAAAGGGAAAATGGAAGAGACGAGAGGGGTAAGAATGGTGACTAGGCTGCCTCCCACGTTTGGATGGCCCTTCAGACATCAGCTGACTCAAGCCACTGCTGGATGGCAGGTTTAGGGTTTAGAGTTGAAGGTGAAGGTCACAGGTTCGAATCCTGTAGCATGCATTTGTTTGCTTTATTTTATCGGGGCGATAAGCCGCTGGGCACTCGCACTTGGTGTGGGAGGAGGGGAGGAGAGGAGGTAAAGGGTCAAGAAGCACAAAATATTGAAAACAAATGGGCCGTAATAGAGCAAGAATAGAGAGAACAGCATGCCAGTCATCACATTTGGGCTTGAGAGGGTGTACAGGAGGAAGGAGGAAGCGCAGGAGATGAGCGGGAGAGAAAGAATGGAGAGGGGAGTTGTGGGAAATGGACTTTGAAAGAGCAGGGAGGGAGGTCAGCGCAACGTAACGTACCAGTCGTCACACTTGGGTTCGAGAGGTCGCACGCGTACCTGGGTGTGGGCTCAGAACAAAAGTGGGGGCAACGGGTGGTGGGAAGGGCAGGGCAGGAGGGAACAACCAGGAGAAACGAGACAAGGACAGGGAGGAGATAAGGGAGGAGGAGGCATATTTAAAAACGGAGGGGAGGAGGAAGGGCAGGAGGGTATGACCTCCAACGAATCAAGTTGGAGAGGCGTCGAGTTCAGAACATCTCGTATCGTATGTCCTGTCCTGGCATGAAAACAATGTATGCAGGTGACGTGCCGAGTTGATGCAATAGGCCCCATTCACTAGAATTTAGTGATAATTATGTACGCAAGTGACAAGGAGCAGCACATTCACTATAAGCACACGTATACGTCCATTCTGAAAAAAATCATCACTTACAGTGGGCACCAGGTGCGTGCATTCACAGTAAGCACATACTCACAAAGTGTGTTAAAAGAACAGCACTCACTGCGGGCACTCACAGCGGGCACTCACAACGGGCACTCACAGCGGGCACTCACAGCGGGCACTCACAGCGGGCACTCACAGTGGGCACGAGGTGCATGAGCTCGTCATCCTTGGTGCGATGCAGCACTCGTGTGAAGAAGCGCAGGTTGCTGCCTGGCTCAGATGCCACCTGTGATGAGAGAAGGAATGAAGAGAGAGGGGAGATGAAGAGGCGAGACAGAGAAGGAAGATGAAGAAGTGTAGGTTGCTGCCCGCCTCAGATGCCACCTGCCCGTACACAAGGAAGTACGGATGATCGGGCGGGAGAGAGGGAGGAAAGGGAGATGAAACGAAAAAGCGCAGGTTGCTGCCACCTCTCGATGATTGCTCTGTTGTAACATTTTTATACAACATACACAGGCTCAAATAGGAGGTGTGGGTGTGGCTACTGGCTACATTGACTCACTATGTCTACTGCACACTGCTCGCTCGCACAATCATGCTGACCTCCTATTTGCTGTCTCTCACTACATTAATATATATATATACATATATATCAACAAAACTTCTAAAGCACTGAACGATTTTTTGCACCTTGCATGTGACACACCTTTTTGTACGTGTGGGACATGAGCAGCGTTTGCCAGTTCATGTATGCATTGCGGTTACTCGTGACAATCACACTGATGAATCGTAACTAGTTTATTATTATGAGCGCCCCTCATTCCTTCGCACCTTCTTGTACCTGTGGAACATGAGCAGCGTCTGCCAGTTCATGTACGCATAGCCATTCTAGTCAAAGGCAGACCTTACTGCAGAGGCTTTACTTCCTTCCATCGAATAAGCACCTCTCCTCTCCTCCCGCCCGTCTCACCTTCTTGTATGTGTGGAACATGAGCAGCGTCTGCCAGTTCATGTATGCATTGCCGTTACTCGTCACCATCGCATGAATGCTCCCCTTCTCCATCTCCCCAGGCACCACCACCGCCTTCGCCACCTCCTGCTGTGCCGCTGCCCCTCCTTTCGCCACCCCCCCTCCTCCTTGCACCACGCCACTCGCTTGCACCACGCCAATCACTTGTCCCGCCCCCCCTGCTTGCCCCACGCCCCCTTGCTGCTCCTGCTTCACCCCCCCTCCTCCTCCTCCTTCCCCTCCTCCTTTCGTCCCCTCCACATACCCCTTGGCCCGCCACTCCTTCTCATAAGCGCCAATCTCTGCTTCGCTACGCCCCATCTCCCGCAGCTCCCTCAGCGTGTACTTGGGCAGGTGGTTAATGGCCTCGTTGACTTTCGATACAAGCACCTTCTGGGACTCTGATGCCTGATGTGGGGGGGATGGGGGGCGGAGAGGCAAGAAACTAGCAAGTCACGCCCCATCTCCCGCAGCTCTCTCAACTTGGGCAGATGCCTTATGGCCTCGTTGACCTTTGCTACTAGCACCTTCTGGGACTCCGATGCCTGGTGGTTCAATGGGACAGAGAGGGGAACATTAGGGTTGGGTGCGTATGGTGGGGAACAAGTTGCGCCCCATCTCCCGCAGCTCTCTCAGCGAGTACTTGGGGCAGATGCCTTATGGCTTCGTTGACCTTCGATACCAGCACCTTCTCGCGCAGCTCCTTCAGCGTGTGTACTTAGGGGCAGATGCCGAATTGCTTTGTTTCCTTTCGATACCACCACCTTCTGGGACTCTGACGCCTGAGAACGGGAAGAGAGGGGAACGACGAGGTTAGGTGTGGTGGGAAGGGGTTGGGCCCATCTCCCACAGCTCTCCCAGCGTGCACTTGAGTAGATGCCTTACGGCCTCGTTGGCTTTCAATACAAGCACCTTCTGGGACTCGGATGCCTGGTGGTTCAATTGGACAGAGAGAGGAAAGCGAAGGGGTTGGATGGGGTGGTGAGGGGTTGCGCCCCATCTCCCGCAGCTCCTTCAGCGTGTACTCGGGCAGATGGCAAATTGCTTCGTTCACCGTCGCTACTAAACTTGCTGCGACTCTGACGCCTGGTGGGGAAGGAGAGGGGGGAAATGATGGGGTTGGGTGGGAAGCGGTTACCCTATCTCCCGCATCCCCCTCAGCGTGTATTGGGGAGATGGTGCAAGGCCAAAAGTGAGGGAAAGGTGAACGTGGGCGGCTCCCTCAGAGACGACTTTTGAGGCGACGTCAAAACTCAGGGTGACTGATGCTCGCTTGCTTGTAAAGCCTGCTGCTGGCTTGGGCGCCAGATTACAGCAATCCAATCAAGAGAAGAGAATCTTAAGTCCAATCAACCATGGCTCGCGTCTCCTTGAATTGCAGTCAAGACTCACCACCTTTCTCTCAAAGGGTCCAGTCCAGGCACAGGGTCTGGCAACCCTCTCACGGTGCCAGTGAGTTGCGAAGCCTACATAGAAAAACACCCTCCTCAACAATCACTCACCTTTCCTTCAGGGGGCTCTGGCACAGGGTCGGGCAACCCTCTGTCTGTGAACTTGCGCTTGTCAAACTCCCAGACCACGTTGCCACTCCAGTCCTGGAAGAAGGGAGCAAAGGGAGGCGGACACGTGAGAGCAGAGGACAACAGAGGGTTCAGGCACAGGGTCAGGCAACCCTCTGTCTGTGAACTTGCGCTTGTCAAACTCCCAGATCACGTTGCCACTCCAGTCCTGGTGGATAGTGAAGGGAGGCGGACACGTGAGAACAGAAGACAACAGAGGGATCAGGCTCCGGGTCGGGCAGCCCTCTGTCTGTGAACTTGCGCTTGTCAAACTCCCAGATCACGTTGCCACTCCAGTCCTGGTGGATAGTGAAGGGAGGCGGACACGTGAGAACAGAAGACAACAGAGGGATCAGGCTCCGGGTCGGGCAGCCCTCTGTCTGTGAACTTGCGCTTGTCAAACTCCCAGATCACGTTGCCACTCCAGTCCTGGTGGATAGTGAAGGGAGGCGGACACGTGAGAACAGAAGACAACAGAGGGATCAGGCTCCGGGTCGGGCAGCCCTCTGTCTGTGAACTTGCGCTTGTCAAACTCCCAGATCACGTTGCCACTCCAGTCCTGGATTATTGGCATTGGGGGACACATGACAGATGGGTGTGCCACATGAGACAGGAACGTGACCTTGTCTGTCACGACTCACACTCCCAGTGAAGAAGAACGTACGTGGAGAGAAAGGACGATGGGAAAATGAGGCTTATTTATGCATACTCAACACAGTATACATGTTCTCTACAGATGAGGGGAAGAGGTGTGAGGCAGAGCGGGCTACAGAAGCGGCGGAAAGAGAGCTTCGGCAAGCGCATGCTGCAGCTGTGGCCCTGGTTCGGGGGAATGATGTGTTGGAAGAGCAGCTTCGGACGACCCAGGAGTAGGTTCCGGAGCTGGGACTGGGGGTGCAGGAGGAGGGAGTGAGTGAGGGACTGGGGGGACAGGAGGAGGAGAGAGTGAGTGAGAGTCTGGTGAGGCATGAAGAGGAGGGGAGAGTGAGTGAGAGTCTCGTGAGGCAGGAAGAGGAGGAGAGCGTGAGTGAGAGTTTGGCGGGGCAGGAGAAGGAGGACGAGGAGGATGAGGAGGATGAGCACTATGAAGAGCAAGTGGCGGCGGGTGCGAGGAGGATGCGCCTCAACGCCATGCGCCTCAACGCCATGTGCATCCACGCCATCCACCAGAGCCTTCACCTTGGCCACTGTGAACGGCTGGTTCCTCCTCCTCTTGCTCCTCAGCAACCCTGAACCCTGCGACCGTGCCCCTCCCCTTGTTCTCCGGCACACCCTTCTCGCCCCCGCCGCCACTTGCTCTGCATAGTGCTCATCCTCCTCGCCCCCGCCGCCACTTGCTCTGCATAGTGCTCATCCTCCTCGCCCCCGCCGCCACTTGCTCTGCATAGTGCTCATCCTTCTCGCCCCCGCCGCCACTTGCTCTGCATAGTGCTCATCCTTCTCGCCCCCGCCGCCACTTGCTCTGCATAGTGCTCATCCTTCTCGCCCCCGCCGCCACTTGCTCTGCATAGTGCTCATCCTTCTCGCCCCCGCCGCCACTTGCTCTGCATAGTGCTCATCCTTCTCGCCCCCGCCGCCACTTGCTCTGCATAGTGCTCATCCTCCTCGCACCCGCCGCCACTTGCTCTGCATAGTGCTCATCCTCCTCGCACCCGCCGCCACTTGCTCTGCATAGTGCTCATCCTCCTCGCACCCGCCGCCACTTGCTCTGCATAGTGCTCATCCTCCTCGCACCCGCCGCCACTTGCTCTGCATAGTGCTCATCCTCCTCGCACCCGCCGCCACTTGCTCTGCATAGTGCTCATCCTCCTCGCACCCGCCGCCACTTGCTCTGCATAGTGCTCATCCTCCTCGCCCCCGCCGCCACTTGCTCTGCATAGTGCTCATCCTCCTCGTCCTCCTCGTCCTCCTCCTTCTGCCCCGCCAAACTCTCACTCACGCTCTCGCCTTCCTGCCTCACGAGACTCTCACTCACGCTCTCCTCTTACTGCCTCACGACACTCTCACTCACTCTCCCCTCCTCTTCCTGCCTCACCAGACTTTCATTCACTCTCTCCTCCTCCTGTCCCCCCAGTCACTCACTCACTCCCTCCTCCTGCACCCTCAGTCCCAGCTCCGGAACCTGCTCTTGGGTCGCCCGAAGCTGCTCTTCCGACACAGCTTTCTCCCGAACCAGAGCCACAGCTGCAGCACGCGCTTGCCAAAGCTCTCTTTTCGCCGCTTCTGTAGCGCGCTCTGTCTCACTCCACTTCCCCTCCTCTGTAAGAACTACCATACTTCAACATGATGAAGTGCGTTTTCAAATCGTCCCGCCCCACCTTAATCTGGCTGCCCCATGTGTAGTACAGGAGAGCAGCATCGCCCACCACCTTGTCTTCTGAGTCGACTCAGAAGCCACCTAGTTAACCCATCTCACCCCAACTACTCTAACCGCCCCCGCATAATCACCTGAATAGCTCGTCCCACCATCTAGCCAGTCTCACCTTGATCTGGCTGCCCCACGTGTAGTGCAGCAGAGCAGCATCGCCCACCACCTTGTCGGCTGGAGGCTGCAAGTGAATTGGCGGACAGGCGGCATCGGGACCAAGAGGGGAGACGGAGGGACGAGGGGGAGGGAATTTTGCAGTCGACTCTTGAGTCGACTTCAAAATTGGATTGAGGGACAGAGATCATCGGGGGAAAGGGGGGAGGCGGAGGGACGAGGGAGAGGAGAGCATGAGCACAACACCGTCAACCACCACCTTGTCATGGTAACACATACCACCACATATCGCCACATATCACCACATATCACCACATATCACCACATATCACCACATATCACCACATATCACCACATATCACCACACGTCATCGCATATCACCACATAACACCACATACCACCCCATAGCACCACATAGCACCACAAGTCACCACATATCACTGCATAGCATAACACTTGGCTTATGATGGCATGCGGAATGGGTGCACACCACCCCCACACGCACATCACCCCACGTCACCGCACACCACCGCACATCACCTGGCTCATGATGGCATGCGGCATGGGCGGCAGGTCAATCTTGACCCCTGCAAGCGCAACGGAGATGGAGAATGCATACATCTCCCGCACCCACCTGTGATAGTTGGGAAGAGGAGTTGGAAGGTGGGAGAGGGTGCGATGATGACACATTGAGTGCAGGGGACATGGAGAAAAGAAACCACGCATCTCACGGACCCACTTGGAATGGTGGAGTGGAGCTGTGAGGCAAGCCTTTCCTTATGTCGCAAGCTCTGCTGAGTCCCTTCTGTGTGCCCCACACTTTCTCACCCAAATCACTCCCTCGACTCGAACCATACCACACAAACACATCCGAATTTCTACTCCAAGTCACCACCCATCTGCCGACCCACCCACCCACTCACCCGAACCGCTCCTTGCTCTCCGCGTTCCCTTCGATGCCTGCTGTCACGTTCACCCATATGGGCACCACTCGCCTGAGAGTGGCAAGTGGGCAGACCAGGGGACGAAAGGATAGAATGGGAAAGAGAGAGAAAGCCTAGAAGCTGCTCCGCAATTTCTTGCATGCCTGCTGTCACGTTCACCCATATGGGCACCACTCGCCTGGGATGGGGAGGTTGGGAGGAGAGGAGAAGAGTGTTGACATGAATGCGAATATGAACATGAGCATAAGATTTGAGGTGAATATAAACATGAATCTGAATATGCAGATACGAATTTGGTCTGGTAATAGTATGAATATGAATCAGAATGTGAGTGTGAACATGACTTCACCTTGCACTCACATCACGTCGTCATAATCCATGATAGTGGGGGCATTGCCAGTCCTTGGGACGTAGGAAAATTGAGTCGACAGGGAAATGCCCAGACACACACCCACACCTGGCAGCACTCACACCATCTGGTATCTTAAATGACTCACACCTAGCACTCACATCATGTCGTCATAACGCATGATAGTGGGGGCATTGCCAGTCCTTGGGACGTCTTCAATTCGGTACGGCTCCGGGTAGTACCTGCAAGTAACACACGTGGAACAAGGAGACTTTTGAGTCGTCTCAAAAGTGCGGCTCCGGGTAGTACCTGCAAGTAACAACACACGTAGAACAAGGATACTTTTGAGTCACAAGGAGACTTTTGAGTCGTCTCAAAAGTACGGCTCCGGGTAGTACCTGCAAGTAACAAGACACGTAGAACAAGGATACTTTTGAGTCACAAGGAGACTTTTGAGTCGTCTCAAAAGTACGGCTCCGGGTCGGGTAGTACCTGTAAGTAACAACACACGTATACATACATACAAGAGTTACCAATAAAGCGTTACAAAATAATAATAATAATAAATGCTTTGTGTAACACGCAAAACAAAATCCGAATGGCAAAGTAGAAGAACTATGGTGAGATAAGATAATAAGGGATGCGGTTTTGCAAATAAGACGGCTGAATGGACAGACAATGAGAAACCCGGTCGTGGTGCTGATTACCATGACGCTTGCCTGCTGGTTGTGTTTGAGAATTCTCGAGGTTGTGTTTGAGAATTCTCGAGGTTGTTTTTGAGAATTCTCGAGGTTGTGTTTGAGAATTCTCGAGGTTGTGTTTGAGAATTCTCGAGGTTGTGTTTGAGAATTCTCGAGGTTGTTTTTGAGAATTCTCGAGGTTGAGAATTCTCGAGGTGGTTTTTGAGAATTCTCGAGGTTGTTTTTGAGAATTCTAAAAAACAACCAGGTCGTGGAAGATTACCATGACGCTTGCCTGCTGCACTGCACTGCACTGCACTGCACTGCACTGCACTGCACTGCACTGCACTGCACGTGCACGTGCACCATGCCAGACAAATGAAGCGATGGAAAATTATGTGAATTTTGCTTGCCTGCGCATGAAGGGCAGTAGGTTGGGGTCCTGAGGCGCGATGTAGTCAAAGGGGAACCCTAGCGCCCTGCCTGCTGGGGGGATGGACACGGGCCTGTGGTGCGGGGGAGTAGAGGGTGGGACAGAGTGGTGGGGATGGATGGAAAGAGGTACGCAACAACAGGTTGGCAGGAGGTTGGGGTCCTGAGGCGCGATGTAGTCAAAGGGGAACCCCAGCGCCCTGCCTGCCGGGGGGATGGTGACAGGCCTGCAGAGGAGAAAAGCGGTATAGGCGAGTGGAAGGGGAAGGGAACAATGAGATAGCAGGAGGTCAGGGTCTTGCGGGGCGATGTAGTCAAAGGGGAACCCCAGCGCCCTGCCTGCCGGGGGGATGGTGACAGGCCTGCAGAGGAGAAAAGCGGTATAGGCGAGTGGAAGGGGAAGGGAACAATGAGATAGCAGGAGGTCAGGGTCTTGCGGGGCGATGTAGTCAAAGGGGAACCCCAGCGCCCTGCCTGCCGGGGGGATGGTGACAGGCCTGCAGAGGAGAAAAGCGGTATAGGCGAGTGGAAGGGGAAGGGAACAATGAGATAGCAGGAGGTCAGGCTCTTGCGGGGCGATGTAGTCAAAAGGGAACCCCAGCGCCCTGCCTGCCGGGGGGATGGTGACAGGCCTGGGGGAAACGGGAGGGGAGGGTGGATTGGGGAGGGAGGGGTGGAGGAAGGGTGGGGTTGATAAGCGAGACAATGGATTGGCAGCGGTTTGGAGTCTTGCAGTGCAATGTATTCAAAGTGGAAAACCAGCGCCCTGCCTGCTGGGGGGATGGACACGGACCTGTGATGCGGTGCGGAGGAGTGAAGCGTAAGGCAGTGTGGTGGGGAGGGATGGGAAGGGGAACAACAATAGGTTGCCAGAAGGTCAGGGACTGAGTCGTCGGGGGACGCCCAAAGGCCTTTTGGCGGGGAGGCAGGGGTGGAAGGGAGTGAGGGGCAGAATGGCTAGGGACTTGTGCGCTTGGGGGGGGGAGGAGGCATGTAGTCAAAGGCGCTGGCAGATGAAGGCATGCCCACAGGCTTATCATTGGTCCCATTCTCAACCCTAAACCCTAGACCCTGATAGCCTCGTTATAAGCTCACTTGACAAAGATATAGTCGGTTTCGATCATGAAGATCCACTCGCCCTTCACATCCCCTGACTCCAGCCACTGCTGGATGGCATAGGGGCGGCTTGCTACAGGGTACTCGCACCACGTGTCACACGTGGGGTCCAGAGGCTTGACTCGGACCTGTGGAAGGGATGGAGAGATGGAAAAAAAGAAAGTAGGGGACGGAGTGAGAAGGGGCGGCTTGCTACAGGGTACTCGCACCACGTGTCACACGTGGGGTCCAGAGGCTTGACTCGGACCTGGGGTGGAGAGAAAGGGAAGAAAAGGAAGCAGGCAGAGGATGGAGTGAGAAGGGGCGGCTTGCCACAGGGTACTCTCACCACGTGTCACACGTGGGGAGGCTTGACTCGGACCTGAGGGAGGGGAGCACGGTGGAGTGGAATGAGAAGGTCAGAAGGGGCGGCTTGCCACAGGGAACTCGCACCACGTGTCACACGTGGGGTCCAGAGGCTTCACTCGGACCTGAGGAAGAAAGGGATGGTAGAGTCAGGGAAGCAGGCAGGTCGGCAGAGGATGGAGTAAGAAGGGGAATGCCTGCCACGGGGTACTCACTCACACCACGTGTCACACGCAGGCTCTAAAGGCCTGACAAGGGTGACAAGGCCTTCCCATGCATTCCACAAGGCCTGACTCAAACCAGGATGAGAAAGAGAAAGGGAAGGATGGAAGGGACAAGGAGGCATGGGCAGGATGTGGAAGGGTAGACACGTGGACATCACATGCATGAGTGCAGTGCAGTGCAGTGCAGTATCTGTCAAGTTGTCAGCCGATGCAGCATGTGCCGTGCCTGCCGTGTGCAATGTTACCTGCTCTGCCTGCCAGGTCTAAACTGCACATGTCCCCCACCCACCCCCGTGTCCGATCACCCATGCCCTACCACTGTGGGCATCACATCGATCAGTGCGTCGTCTGTTGCCCGGTGCACCACAAGCCATGCATTCCGATGTACCAGGCGAAACCGCATCTCATCCCTCTCCACCCCATCTTACCGTCGGCATGACATCCATCAGAGCGTCGTCCGTCGAGCGGTGCAGCACGCGAGTGAAGTGCTTCATCTCACTGCCGGGCTGACCTGCCACCTGATGGGGTGGAGATGATGGGGGAGAGGGTGGAGAACACATATGAGAGATAGACAGAGCACCTCTTGCCCCTGGCCTCCCTCCCGTTGACCGGTGCCGCACGCGAGTGAAGTGCTTCATGTCACGGTCAGGTACAGCCACCCACCACCTGACGGGGCAATGCCGGGCTGACACGCTTTTAGAAACATAGTTGCCTGCCTAATTTATGCTTTCTTGCCAACCAGCCATGGATATCCTGATAGTTTATCAGCACTTTATGCTTTAACTAACACTGACTGACCTGCAAATACGTGTACTACATACCTGCAATTGCCAGCCCATATACAAGGAGACTCGTTATAGCCTTCAAACCGCCTTGCAATTCACCAACTGACCTGCAGGTACGTGTAGTACACGATCCCGATTGCCAGTCACCGTATAAGGAGACCCGTTACAGCCTTAAAATTGCCTCACAAGTCACCGACTCACCTGCAGGTACGTGTAGTACATGATCCGCGATTGCCAGTTCATATAAGGCGACCCGTTACTAGTCAGCATCACGTGAATCACATTTTCTCGCCCCCCCTTCGTCCCCCCTCCACTACCACCCTCCCCTCCTCCTCTCGTTTCCCTTGCTCCTTCCCCTCCTGCATTGCTGCTCCCTCTGCTGCTGCTGCCTCGCAACAGACGGACGTCGTCAAACGAGCCACGCCTGGGGAAAACGGAGCAAGGGGAACAGGCAGAGGAGGGAGCAGACAGGAAAGCGAATGGGGTAAGCGCGTGCATTGCTGCTACCCCTGCTGCTGCTGCCACTATGGGAGCCCCGCAAGAAGCGAACGTCGTCTAACGAGCCACGCCTGGGGAACAAGGAGCGGGGAGAAGGGATAGAGGAGGGAGCAGGCAGGGAAGCGAATGGGGTAAACGCGTGCGTTGCTGCTCCCCTTGCTGCTGCTGCCAGTATGGGAGCCTCGCAACAAGCTTACGCGGCCGAACGAACCACGCTTGGGAACCAACACGGAGCGAGGAGGCGGGAGGAGAGGGGCATGGTTCCGGGAAGTAACACTTTGGCCGAATAGGGACAGACTTTGCCAACCACCTGTGACAATTCTGGCCGACCATTCACTAGATTCAAAGACCACCTTAAAGCCTACCTCCTTGCCTTCCCACACAGGCACACGCAGACGCACTAGCCTTCTACCGTCTGGCCGTCTAACCACACCAGCTAGCCGTCTAGCCGCACAAGCAGCAATAGATGCATGACTGACCGTCTAACCGTCTAGCCGCACTAACCGATTGGCTGTCTGGCCGTCCAGTCGTTGTGCCGTTCATTCGCGCACCTTCTGATGGCATGCAGACGTCGGTAGTGCTCGCGCGGGCGGGAGCAGAAGCTGATAATGAAGAGGTCAATAACGAGTATGATGATCGCTCGCGTCGTCGGCCCGTGCGAGACTTGCCGGCGAAGGCCTCTCATGGCTGGCGACGACTCTTAACGAATCCCTATTACGCTGTGTGTGGTTATAGCGAGGATTGCTCAGGAGGATACTTTGGGTGCTTAGAAAATGCCGACGTGTACTCCGGTACACCCAGACTTGCTTCTATAATGAAGTTTTCTGCTCGAATGCGATAAGAAACGGCCTGGGAAGATCGTCTCCTGGACTTTCGAATTCGAAAGAGCATGTGATTCACACTCGCAAGGCAGGCAATGAGCTGGAAACAATATCATTCCCAGTTCGCAGGGTACGCTATTCAAGACGGCTAAACAACGGAGGTAAGACAGGTAAACAATAAATAAAAACGAAAAAACGACAGGAGCTTTCAATTAGTAGAGAAATTCGCTACTTGCGGCTTGCTAACTACGACGCTCGCGCTCAGTTGGCCTGCTAGCTTCCTGGACCAGCAGCCATTGTTCATTGATCAAACCAAATAAAACTAGTGGGCCTTCCCAATATGAATGCTCTGCATCTGCATATTCGGTACGAATCTCGAGAACCGAGATACAAGAGTCTGTACCTTGAGGTACCTAGAGTTAACTCGTAGTACCCATCTCTAACCTACAAAACCTGGCTTCGTCGTGCGTGCACCCCTCGGGAATACCGAAACATGGGGTTGAATTGGGTTCTCGGTGATGGAATTCGGTACTGGTCTGGGTTCTCGCAGGATAAAATCTGGTCGTGTACCAGAACAGCAGTAAAGAGAACATGCAATTAGAATACGGTTTCTCATATAACTTTCCTACAGTCTCACTAGTCATAGAAACTGACGTGCAAATTCAGTCTCTAACGATTCTCATATCTACCGTCTCGCGTTCCCAACTTCCCCTCCTCCCTCCCCAACCCAACACAACCTTACCACCCATCACTCCACTCTCTACCTCCATTCCCCACCCTGCTTCCCCGCACGAGCAATCAACGGTCCCAAATCAACCGTCGACGGCCCTCTTGTCCCCCTCCTCTTATCCTCCCCAGCAGCAGCAGCATCGCACAGCCGAGCCAGTACATCCGGGAAAGGCTCGTCAATTTCCATCAACCGCAGCTTCTACCTCCATTCTCCACCCCTCTTCCCTGCACGAGCAATCAACGGTCCCAAATCAACTGTCGCCGGCCCTCTTGTTCCCCTCCTCTTGTCCTCCCCAGCAGCAGCAGCATCGCACAGCCGAGCCAGTACATCCGGGAAAGGCTCGTCAATTGCCATCAACTGCAGCTTCTACCTCCATTCTCCACCCCTCTTCCCTGCACGAGCAATCAACGGTCCCAAATCAACTGTCGCCGGCCCTCTTGTTCCCCTCCTCTTGTCCTCCCCAGCAGCAGCAGCATCGCACAGCCGAGCCAGCACATCCGGGAAAGGCTCGTCAATTGCCATCAACTGCAGCTTCTACCTCCATTCTCCACCCCTCTTCCCTGCACGAGCAATCAACGGTCCCAAATCAACCGTCGCCGGCCCTCTTGTTCCCCTCCTCTTGTCCTCCCCAGCAGCAGCAGCATCGCACAGCCGAGCCAGCACATCCGGGAAAGGCTCGTCAATTGCCATCAACTGCAGCTTCTACCTCCATTCTCCACCCCTCTTCCCTGCACGAGCAATCAACGGTCCCAAATCAACCGTCGCCGGCCCTCTTGTTCCCCTCCTCTTGTCCTCCCCAGCAGCAGCAGCATCACACAGCCGAGCCAGCACGTCAGGGAAAGGCTCGTCTATTGCTGTCAGCTGCAGCTGCTGCCGCTGCACCACGAGAATACGATGCCCTGCCTCCTTGGCGCTTGAGTAAAGCTCCTGAGAAGGGCGGACAGACAGAGGGAAACAAGGGAGGGAGGGAGCAAGGGAGGCGCGTCAGGGAAAGGCTCGTCAATTGCTGTTAGCTGCAACTGCTGCCGCTGCACCACAAGAATGCGATGGCCTGCTTCTTTGGCACTTGAGTAGAGCTCCTGAGATGGGCAGAGGGAATAAGTAGAGGAGACAGACAGGACTTAAACATGGAAGGAGGGAGGGAGGCCACTCAAGGCTGGTCAATTGCTGTCAGGTGCAGCTGCTGCCGCTGCATCACAGAGAATGCGATGGCCTGCCTCCTTGGCACTTGAGTAGAGCTCCTGAGATGGAAAGATAGACTAGAAGGGACCTGTCAAAAGCGGACAGGTGGGCTGCGGAATAGGAGGGGTGCTTTAAGATCCCCGGTGCCTCAAACAGAGGAATTCAGTTCAGACCCACCTTGGAAGCACCCTTGGAAGCACCCTTGGCAGCACCCTTGGCAGCACAGGGGACAAACACCTTGGGAACACAAACACACCTTGGGAACACACGGCACTGCCTTCACTTCCACAGCCACTCCAGTAGCCGCCTCCTCCCCCTCATCCTCCCCCCCCTCTTCTTCCCCTTCCAGCTCCTCTGGGTGTGCCAGCAGCCACACCCTCAGCACCTCACTGAACCGCGCTGCATCCACCACGTCTTCAAACCCCACCACTATCCACGCATCTTCTGCTGCTGCTGCTCCAGCTGCCCCAGCAGCAGTATCCCCGTTATAAACACCCTCAGTAGAGTAGGCAGTTGAAGAGCCCCAGTCAGGGGGGAGCTGGAAGGAGTATGGCACTCTCTGAACTCTCTGCCCCTCACTGCTGGTGCCGTTACTGCTGCTACTCCAACGCATTATCATCACGACCTGAAAAAAGAAGAGAAAATAAGAAAACAAAGGAAGTAATAAACACACAGTCAGGGGGGGAGCTGGAAGGAGTAAGGCACTCTCTGCACTCGCTGCCGCTCACTGCCACCGCTGCTGCTGCTGCTACTCCAACGCATTATCATCACGACCTGGAATGAGAAGGAGGGATAGAGGATTATGGAAGGAGTAAGACACTCTCTGCACTCGCTGCCGCTCACTGCCACCGCTGCTGCTGCTGCTACTCCAACGCATTATCATCACGACCTGGAATGAGAAGGAGGGATAGAGGATTATGGAAGGAGTAAGACACTCTCTGCACTCTCTGCCGCTCACTGCCACCGCTGCTGCTGCTGCTGCTCCAACGCATTATCATCACGACCTGAAAACGAAAGAAGGTAAGAAAGCAGGAAGCAAACAAACAAAAAGTCAGCAGAGTAGGCAGCAGTGGTAGAGCGGGCTGGCACTGGCACTGGAAGGATTATGATACCCTCTGCACTCGCTGCCCCCCACTGCCAGTGCCATACGGCAAGGGTTTGGGAAGAAAGGAGAGGAAGCGGGCACTTTTTGGGGTTTAACGGCTGCAACCAAACGTGGGAATTTATGAATATGAACAGCTTTTGAGGTACCTCAAAGGTCAAGACGACTTTGAGACTTTGAAGGGGACAGGGACATGGATGCACAACTGAGATCCAATTATCCAATCCGAACAACACAGAACTAATTGATCCACTCACGGTGACTCACCCACACTGCCTGCAGGTCAAGCCACCACAGCCGATCCAGGTCCGGCCGAACCACCCCCCTCCGCCGAGCCTCCTCCTCCTCCGCATCCCGAGCCTGCTCCAAATACTTCTCCGCCACAGCCTCAGCTCCAAACCTCTCCTTCTCCTCCCGAACCTTCTCGAGAAAACTTTTCACCGCTGCCCGCTGCTTCGGGTCGCCCCCTTCCCTCCCTGCTTCTACAACCTGTGAGAGCGTCGGGGCAGAAGTAATTTCTTCCTCTGAGAGCCACCTGGGGAGGTCTTTACCTAGCTGCTGAATAACATCTTTCGCATCTGGATCTCTCTCCTCTTCATACCTTGCTCTAATGTCCTCTGCCCACTGCTTTGTGTTGCTCCACCCCTCTTCACCGCTTCCCACCGCTCGGCCTGCCCTCCCTGCCTGTGTCTCTTCCAGGGACCAAGACTGGCGCCCATTCATGCCTTTACTCGAGCTCACCACCACACTCTCTCCTCCTTCCCATCCCCCACTCCCACTACTCACCACCACACTCTCTCCCCCATCCGCTCTCCCGCTCCCACTACTCACCACTACACTCTCGCCCCCCTCCCCTCCCCCACTCCCACTGCTCACCACTACACTCTCCCCTCTCTCCCCTCCCCCACTCCCACCAACCACAGCCGTACTCTCGCTCTCCTCTGCACCACCATCGTCAATCAACGTGATTGCGTCAGAAGCATTCACGTACTGTGAAACCGCCTGCACTAGCAGCTCGTCTGTAGTGCCGTCAGTTGCTGTAGGGGCGTTGGTTGCTGCAGTGCCGTTAGCAGCTGTAGCAGTGCCGTTGCCTGCTGGCGCTGCAGGTACTGCTGATGCCACAATTTCTCCCCTGCTGCTTTCCTTTCTCTCCCCCCCACCCTCTCCTCTCATCCGCGGCACCACCATATCCATGGGGTCGCTCACCGAAATGCCATCTGCAGTTAAGAGGGGAGCGAGGAAAGGGCAGTGGGGAGGTGGGTGAACAAGCTACGCACCAACCACCTCTTTTTCTCTCCCCCCCACCCGCTTCTCTCATCCGCGGCACCACCATATCCATGGGGTCGCTCACCGAAATGCCATCTGCAGGAAGAGGGGAGGGGCAACGGGGAAGTCAAGGAATGGGCAATGGGAAAGTGAATGGTCTGCTCACATCAAGCACCTCTCTTCCCCACTCCTTCCGTCCTCTCATCCGTGGCACCACCATATCCATGGGGTCGCTCACCGAAATGCCATCTACAGGAAGAGGGGAGGGGGGAAAGGGCAATGGGAAAGTGGGTGAACAAGCTACAGATCAATCACCGCTTTCTCCGCCCTCCCCAACCCCCTCCCCCTCCCCCCCATACAGCCGGTTGAGCGCATCAAAGAACGCCTCCTGCTCCTGCTCCTCCTGAGTCAGCCCGTCTCCCTTATCCTGCTTGCTATCACCCTTACTGCCGCCATCCCCCTCCCCATACAGCCGGTTGAGCGCATCAAAGAACGCCTCCTGCTCCTCCTGAGTCAGCCAGCCTTCCACAGGGGGCCACTCACCTCGGCCGTACTGCAGATTCTCCACCAGCTCAGACACTCCGTCCTCCTTATAGCCGTCCCCTTTACCCCCGTTAGTATCCTCCTCATACAGCTTGTTCAGCGCATCAAAGAACGTCTCCTGCTCCTCCTGAGAGAGCCCATGCATCGAGTCTCTCCCGCCTTCATCGTTCAGCATCACCCGCGCCACCAGAGTCACCAGCCGCTCATCTTCCACCCACCACGCAGCCCCACCAGCCGTTGAAGCAGCAGTAGCACCAGCAGCGCCAGCAGCCGCTGCAGCAGCAGCTGCTGCCGCTGCTCGCTGCCTCACTCTTCTCTTTGCGTCCTCCAGCTCCCACTGCTGCCTGCCCACTCCCATCTGCACATTCCTCTCCCTCTGCCCCTTTACCTCCCACTCTTGCTTGCCTACTTCCCTTTGGCCCCTGCCCTCTTCTCCCCCATTTTTAGCACCGTCTGCTGCTGCTGCTCCCCCCCTCCCCGCTTCCTCACCCATCACCCCATCATAATTCTTGCCAGCAGATGCGCTGCCTGCTACAGCTGTACTCGTTATAGTGTCACCCGCTACAGTGCCACGAGGTGTAGCGCCCGCTACACCCGCTACAGTGCCTTTAGGCAGTGTTGTAATCACTCGCGCTCTGCGCCTCCTCCTGCCCTCGCCTGCTCCTGCTGCTGCTGCCCCTGCCCCTGTTGCTGTTGCCCCTGCTGCTGCTGCTGCTGCCCCTGCTGCTGCCCCTACCGCTGTTGTTGCTGCCCCTGCTGCGGCTGGTGTATCGTCAGCAGAGGCAGCAGGAGCAGGAGTAGCAGCCGCAGCAGGGACATCAGGAGGGGACGACGGGAGAGAGGTGATGATTCGAGCTCGTGCTCTTCTTTCGCTCCTGCTGCTGCCACTGCTGCTACCCCTGCTTTCTGCTGCTGCAGCCCCTGCTTCTGCTGCTTCGATAGCTGCTGCCCCTACTGTCGTACCACCTGCTGCTGCTGCCCCTGCCCCTGCTGCTGCTCCTGTTGCTGCTGCTGCTGCCGCTGGTGCTGCTGCCGCCGCCGCCGCCGCCGCCGCTGCTGCTGCTGCGCCTCCCCCGATCGCCGCACTAAACCCCGCCGCACCCCCTCCTCCCACCTTTCCACCCAGCACAACCGCACACGCTTCCTCCCACACCGCATCCAACACCTGCTGCGTCACCACCTCGCCCCGCCTCCTTCTCTCCACCAGCAGCCGCTGCATCTCAGCACTCACCTTCCTTGCTCGTTCCTTCTCCTCCCTCTCCTCCCTCTCCTGCCGTCTTACCAAGTCTGCACTTCTGCGGATCTCAGCCATTGCTGCCTGTCGCCTCTGCTCCTCTGTTTCCCCCTCCTCCTGCTCCTGCTGCTCCTGCTGCTCCTGCTGCTCCTCTCCCTTCTCCCCCTGCCCCCCCTCCTCTCCCTTCCCGCCTTTCTCGCTTTCCTCTCCCTTCTCCCTTTCCTCTTCCCCCCTCTCCTCCCTCCTCTCCCTTACCTCTGCACTAATATCCACCACAGCACCCCCTCTCTCGTCCCCCCACGCCCCCTCCCCCCTTCCCATACTCCCCACACCCTCCCAATCCCCCCCTACTAGCACATCCACTTTCCCTCCTCTCTCCCCTCCAGCCACCCCATTCACCTTTCCGTTGATCCCCCTCACCTCCCTTCCCTCTCCCTCATAAACCCCAAACCCTGCTTCTCCCCTTCCCCTCCCATCCTCCCAATCCCTCACCTCGCTCCCACCAATCCCTCCCAACTCCTCTCCACCACTCTCAACCGCCTCCCCGTCCGTCCATTTCCCCTTGAACCTCTCTGCTCTCTCTCTCTCCATCCTCTCCTGCTCTGCCCTCCTCCTCCACCCTTCCTCCTTTTTCTCTTTCATCTTCTTCCTCTCCCAGTCCTTCCAACTTATTCCATCCTCCTTATTGTCAGCCTCCTTACTCGTTACAAGTCCTTTCCGCTGCTCCTGCAGCCCATCTTTCTTTTTCTCTGCCTTGCCGCCCGCTCGTCCTCCGATCCACGCCACTGTAGCAGCAGTAACGACAAAACCAGCCGCCCACAGCCACCCTCCAGCCGGCAAAGGGGAGTTCCAAATATCGCCCCCTCTCGGCCCATTAACCTCCCCTGCTGGCGTCGCGACCTCAGCCACAAACCCTTCGCCACGTGGCACCTCTTGACTGCGTTGACTCCCTTGACCCAACGTGGGAGCGGAAGCTTCGGAGGGCTCTGCAGGAGCAGTGACACGGGTGCGTGAGGAAGCTTCCTGGATGGTCTCAGTCGAAGCAGTAGGAAGGACGGAGGAGTTGAGAGGGATCGAGTCAGGGGGGGGGGACAGGGGCAGGGGCAGAGGCGGAGGCAGGGGCGGAGGAGGAAACAGGGGGGGAAGCGGAGACAACGGCGGAAGCGGATACAGGGGCGGAGGCGGAGGCAGGGGCGGAAGCGGAAACAGGGGCGGGGACAGTGGCTGAAGCGGAGACAGGGAGGGACTGCTTAGGAACGGGCGCAGCAGCAGCAGGAGCAGGAGCAGCAGGGATGGTTGTAGCAGCAGGGACGGTTGTAGCAGCAGGGACGGTTGTAGCAGCAGGGACGGCAGCCGTCTTTCCCCCGCCCGTCTTCCCCTTCCCCCCTTCCCCGTGCAGCCGCCGCAGCCGCCACTGCCCCCCCCGGCCCTTCTTGTCGCGCTGCCACTCGCCGTCGCGCGGACGGCTACGGCCACTCTGCGCTTCGCTCCTTGAGTCGGACTTTACGTCGCGCCGTAAGCCCGAAGTTGCGCTGCTGCTTCCGCCGCTTCCGCGAGCTGCGGTAGCCACGCCGCCTGTGATTCTAGACTCGTCATTGCGCGCCGCACGTGTGACACTAACGAGGGATGATCGGCCAGTTCGCCTCCTTGAATTGCGGAGATTAAGGGCCACCGATCCGGTACGTAGACCAATAGAAAATATACTCGATTGGCGGGAGGTAAGAATGCTTGAAGCGAGCTCTTTACGCGGGTCGCGGTTCGACCCGTAGCGCCATACCCTTCCGCTGAATGAAGCGCTTAAAGCGCCGGACGAGTGCTGACGTGGCAGTGCTCCTAAAGTCGTCAACTTAGTCGGTCGCGACAATCGCGAAAGTGCGACGGGTGTCGTCGAGGGTTCGCCGAAGGGTGTCGAGGCGACAGGGGAAAGGCGGAGCGCGGAGGAGTGGAGTAGCACAGCCATGCTGTCTTGTTTCTCAACGGCTAGTTTTTGTCCGGTTCAGATCGAAATCAGTGTGTGAAAACAAGACGAGAGGCAACAAGAGAACAATGGCGAGAAAGTCTCGGAGGGAGGTTTCCGAACCCGATCACCAGAAACTGCTAAGAAATGCGACGCGATGGGAGTCTCGAAAGTTCGCTGGCGTTTTCTCTAACCGCGCGGATCGTCGTCGACGGGAATGGGTGGAATAATCATCTACAACACTCGTGGTGGTGAGTCAAATCGAGTGAATGGCAGTCGCAGAAATCAGGAAAAGCGATCTCTCCCTCTCTCTTTCTGGTGCTGTGCTATCCTCGTGCCCAGCAATGGCTGGAAATGGGATTGCGGGAAAATAGGCGAAATGACGCGCATCGGCGGAAATCTTGTTTCTCTCAATTGCATCGACCTAAATTACTCCGACCTCGCCACGTGGGCGTTTCCCTTAATTGGATGGACCGCGTTTGCGAGCGCCCTTTACACGCGATTTTCCCGCCCTTCACATCCGGAATTAGGGCACCCGCTTGAATTTCGTGGAATCACAAACAGTCACGAATACATGTTTTTTTCGTAACGCTTTCAACATGCGAGCGACAACTGTGACATGCAAGCAGTGAGTTTTGATTCTTCAATGTTGAATGACGTGCACGTTCGGTTGTGCCAGGAGCCGTTGGGGAACGCACAGTTAAATTTAACGTAGTACCTTTACTTAATATCAGATTTCCATATAAAATATAACCAGTATTATGATAAATTCTGTAATCAGTAGTAGCTTGAGCATAATAACTAAAATAAATTTGATTGTTAATGAGTTTTTTAGCAGTAATATGGGCTTTATCAATTGTATGCCACTGCATTAACACATATTTATTTGTTTACAAACTTTGTAATCGGAGGTTAATATTTCTATTCTAAATACTATAAATCAGTATAGTAAACCAGAATTTCTACCTAAATTAAAGAAAGTTAATTCTAATTTTCCTAGGAGCGATTATTATTCTAAATTAATAATTTTTAAATCTATAGTATTTTTATATGTTTCATGGAAAAGGCTTAACACAAATATATTATAAAACCAAAAAAAATACAATTTATTTGTCATGTGTTTTTCTGCGCGTATGGGCTAATCCTAAAAAATATGATACAATGAACGTGCATACGAGCCTTTTAAGATTGAGATGCAGCCGCCGAAATTATCAAGAGTCTATTGCAAAAGCTGATGTGGCTTGCCACAACTACGTGGAGGATTTGGCATGATGTGGAAAGCATGTATTCGTGACTGTTTGTGATTCCATGAAATTCCATGTTGAAATCGCGACTGTTTGTGATAGATCATAACTTCAGCACAGCTGCCCGAATTCGGAGGGGAAGGGCGGGAAAATCGGGTTGGGGGGGCGGGCGCAAACGCGGTCCATCCAATTAAGGAAAACGCCCACGTGGCGAGGTCGGAGTAATTTAGGTCGATGCAATTGAGAGAAACAAGATTTCCGCCGATGCGCGTCATTTCGCCGGGAAAATAACTCTTTTGGCAAGAGTTCCATTATGGTGCTGTGCACTTCGGTCTAGAAGCTGTTATGAGTTGTAAAAGAGGAGTGCGCAGAATGTAACTGATTACATCAACTCAGCAAGTAATGAGGCCTATGACTAATATAGCGGTGCTAGCTAGGCCGAGGTCGCGGAGCCGCGAGATGGTTGGGTGCAGGTTCAGGGTTGGGAAACCCGAAGGCGACGCGATGGTGGTTCGGAGGGCGAGGTCATCGGACCGAGCCTGTTCTCCGAAAACCGGAGTTGTACGCGTACAGTGTGACCCAGTAAGGAATCACGGAAAACTCCTTGCACTACCTCCCCCCCCCCCCCCCTCCCTTTAAAAAAGGTGGTGTACATCCGGGACACCCCGGCGGGTCAGGTAAGCATCCACAACCGGATATCCCTGTAGCGAGTTTGCGGCGGCGTACGTGTCGTCCTCGCTCGTGCGATCCTTCCAGCGAAGCAGGAGATAACTTTGCGGCTGGCGGCCGTCAGATCCACGCGGTGGTTCAAAATCTTCCAAGGCGCGAGCGTGGGCTCTGCCACAGGTCGGGCGGTTGGTGCGATGTTGGGCCGTGCGACAGTAGGCGACTATGGCGGCTCATAAGGTCGCAGCAGACTGGCGTGGAATGCGTCGTCTATTTTCCAGTCGTCGGGCAACAGTAGTTTCGCCGTGACAGGTGTCACCATCTGGACGATGTGAAATGGTCCGGCGTATCGAGGTCGCAGCTTCGCGGGCTGGGGCAGTCGAAGGTTTTTTGTGTCCAGAAGGACCACTTGCCCTGTTCGAAAATCCCGTCTGTGCTTGTCCGCGTTGCGACTGGCAACAGTATTAGCCTTGCGAAAAAAATCGGCTGCCTTTTTGCGGGCGGTCTGAAGATCCGTGACGAACTGCTGCGATCGTGGTACCGGGTTGTCGAGCGTCGTTGAAGAGGGTACCACGGGGTCTATCCCGTAATTTAAGTAAAACGGTGATTGCTTAGTCGTTGCCAAGAGTGCGTTGTTATACGCGAACTGCATTGGGAGCGATGTCAAAGTACAATCTCACTTGTAGGCTATAGTGGGGCACTCCTTATGGGGTACAACACTTCTAGGGTTAGTACTTGTACCCCAACTCTTGCTAGTCCAATCATTCCTGCACAGTTATTATGACATGGTATCAGAGCAGGAAACCTGTCAAGTTTTTAGGGCCCACCGATAGTTCCGCTCGTTCCTGCCCGAAGCGCCCTTGCGCTGTCCGGCCCTACTCGCACAGTGTCGCGTTGCTCTGCAGCGACTCGCACTGCCTGCCCCCACACGTCGCGCCCTGCTGCAGCCTGCGAGTCGCGCCCTGCTGCCCTGCCCAGCGCGCGCCGCCCTGCCCTGCAGCCCGTGCATCGCGCTGCCCTGCCCTTAGGCCCGCGCGCCGCCCTGCCCTGCAGCTCGCGAGCCGCACCGCCATGCCCTGCAGCCCAGCGCGTCGCGCCCTGCTGCCCTGCCCAGCGCGCGCCCCACTGCCCTGCGTGTCGCGCCCTGCTGCAGCCCGCGCGTCGCGCCCTGCAGCCCGCGCGTCGCACCTTACTGCCCCGCGCGTCGCGCCCTGCTGCCCCGCGCGTCGCGCCCTGCTGCAGCCCGCACGTCGCGCCCTGCTGCCCTGCGCGTCGTGCCCTGCTGCATCCCGCGCGTCGTGCCCTGCTGCCCTGCACAACGCGCGCCCTGCTGCCATGTCCACCGCGCGCCCTGCCCTGCAGCCCGCGGCGCGCCCTGCCTTGCCCAGCCGCGCCGCCCAGCCCTGCCGAGCCGCGCCGCCCAGGCCGAGCCGCGCCGACCAGCACGAACCGCCCTGCCCAACCCGAGCCGCGCTGCCCTGCCTCGTTCACCAGCCCCACCGAGCCGCCCTGCTGCTCCTACTGCTGCTGCTGCTGCTCGTGCTACTGCTGCTGCTGGTGGAGGTGCTGCTGGGAGTACTGGAGGTGCTGCTGGTGCTGGAGGTGCTGGAGGTGCTGCTGGGAGTGCTGGAGGTGCTGCTGGTGCTGGAGGTACTGGACCTGCTACTGACCGTCACTGCCTGTCATGGCCACTATCACGGCAGTTGCAGCGGCTAGGGGTGGAC